CAGTGGGAGTTGAAGCAGGAGTAGTAGTAGTAGTAGTAGTAGTAGTAGCAGTAGTAGTAATAGTAGCAGTAGTAGTAGCAGTAGAAGAAGAAGTAGTAGTAGTAGTAGCAGCAGCAGTAGTAGTAGGAGGAGTAGTAGTAGTAGCAGTAGTAGTATTTGGAGTAGTAGCAGTAGTAGTAGTAGTAGTAGTAGCAGCAGCCGCAGTAGTCGTAGTAGTCGTCGTATTGGTCGTAGTCGTACTCGTAGTAGTAGTCGTCGTCGTAGTAGTGGCAGTAGCAGTAGCAGTAGCAGTAGCCGTAGTAATAGTAATAGTAGTAATAATAATAGCAGGTAGCAGTAGCAGTAGCAGTAGCATTGATAGCGGTGTGATCTTAACGCCTGCTAAGCCAGGGGTCAAAGAAATTCCATTGCGTGAAGAACAGTGGCAAGAGTGTAAACATGTCGGTGCAGTAGTTAAATTAGGCGCAAAGCTGATCTGCTTCTCGAGAGGAAAGGCCGGCCACGGCTAGAACGTGTATTTAATCATTTTTTCTCAACTGTTTGCCACTATTCCGACTTTGTCTTTGTCCACCCCTCCCCGTCAACGGCTGGCGACGGGGTGGGGTGGAAGTTTCAGCTCTGTCCTCTTTACCTGCACTTTCCAATTTTGCGAATCCTGAAGCTAACTGTCTTCCTTGTCTGTCTTCCTGTTCCGCGTTTAGTCAGTTAGTCACATCCTTGAAAACACTGGCCCCAGCTGGCAGGCGACTGTCATAATAGTGGTCGCAGTATCAGCACTAGAAGCACCGGTAGTTGGTAGTTTTAATTAATAACTTTAGCAGTGCTGTTGCTGGAGCTTTTGCCGCCATCAATGATCTGTTGGCGGTGGCGGTAGAAGTTGACGATCAGACGTTTAACAAGGTGTTTGGGAGGCCCCGACACAACACGGTTTCGGGGTTCTTCGTTCTTCTCTGGGGCAGCCTAGAAGCCGAACAAGTGAATGTGTATGGTCCAATTGGCTTTTAGATGCTTTTAGGCATTAGGGCTCTAAACCTGCAAGTGGCCTTGCCGGAACTAGACTCAAAAACCTGGAGCGTGTCCAGTATTCAGGATGACAGGTTCCTTGACTTACCTCTTGGTCCTGCTTTTCTGGCAGCCGCAGCAGCTGGTCTTTGTCGATCGAGTTTGCATTTCCCAGACAGACCCCGGTCTCCAAGCAGAGGGGCTTCTGAGCTTGGGAGCGATCCTGAAGAGTTCCGACAGTGTCTTGGCAATTGGGTTGAGGAATGTTGAGGCTCCGTGTTGTCATTCATGGTGTCTCATTGCCACATTGTGTCTTAGTATGACTAGGACGCTTGTTCAGACCTGCAATTTGTTGGAACAGGCTCGGTTGTTGTTTCGGTATTGGAGAGGTCGCGAGAAATGGTTGCCCAGACTGTCCTCCTCCCTAGACTTAGACGCTTGGGGCTGTTTTTTTTTTTTGTTTGTGTGATGCGGGTGGGGCCAAGGTATGCTGGTGCTGTGGGATCCTTCGTGGGCACTGCGCTTGTGGTGTGTCTTCGAGTTGGCCGCCTCTGGGATATCGTTAAGATGTGAAGGGACGCAGCAGGATTTTTATAGCGCTTCGGAAGGGTGCCACAGGGTTTTTATATTGTGGCTGTACAAACGCCTAAGAGGGTATTATAATTACTTTAAGATCTCGATTTCATGTTTTTGTTGTTGTTGTTTTTTTTTCTGGGGGCATCTTCGGTGCTATAAACTGTCGAGCTTCAGTTTTGCAGTTAAACAACTCCTGCTAGTAGAGTTCGTCAAACCTTTACTCTAGCCTTCTGGCGAAGCTCGTCTCACACCTTTCGCTGGAGACGCAGCTAATCTCACGTCGCGCTTCAACCTTTCCATGGTACTCTAATGCCCATACATGCCCAAAGGTTACCCCGCGGCCCCGTCAGAATCGCAGAAACCTTCCAAAATCCGTTAACTATGGAATATACTTTGAATCATAGTTACTCGGGACCCCACTGTACTTTAAAATCTATTCCTTCATGGCGGGATTTTAGAAGGTCTGGGTGCTCTCTCCATGTCAAGGCCTAAGCATATACAAGTAAGAAACATGGGGCCGAAGAGTTGCTCAATATGAACCCAGGCCTTCATTCGCAGCCGGCCCGAGGGGTCCAAGCCTCACGTCGTTCTGCGACCGACGATTCTGGGATTCGCGATTTTAGCATTTGGCTGCTCCGCTGTCCTTGGCACTTTTTGCTACTACAGCCTGTTCCATGTGTTGCCTGGCATACCTGTGTACTTCATCATACTTCTGGCGCTGCTGCCCGGTGCTGTGGTTTTCTTCCTAATCGCGAACCTGGCCCGTGCCTTCTGCCGGTCTGTGACGACGATGTGCCGCCAGCTAGGTGAGTTCCGCATTGCCACAGCTGAGAGTTTCTAGGCGGCAGTTTGGGAAGCTTTATTATTTCCCTCAGGGCATTCTGGTCCTAGAGAAGCACCTATTCATAACTACTTCTGGGGGCCCCAAACCTCCAACCCAGGTTATTGCTGCGCAACCGACCACAAGTCGGAGTCTGGTGAGCCGATGATCTGCGACCGGGAGGTAATCCAGCAATGCATCAAGATATGGTTTGGCAGCGTCGAGGCTTTTGAGCGGCGGGTCCAGAACGAGGCCTGTAGCCTGATGGTTGTAATCTCGTCTTCAATTGCAAAAGCTGATGGCGACGATGTTGTCGCATGGCGGAGGGTGGTGGAGCTGGTAGGGTTCTGAGCTCGTGGGTGATGGTAATGGGTGATGGTTATGGTGGTGGTGATGGCGGTCGGGTGGCGTGGGGCGATGAGGTTTGCCATGGTGATGATGGCCGATGATTTTGATGGTGTGATGACGATGATGGTGGTGATGATGATGGGTGATGATGACGGTCGTCCTGGTGATCAAGGTGGTGGCCGTGGTCGCCATGATGACACTGACGATCTGTAATGGTGGTCGCATTGGCGATCATGCTGAAGAGGTGGTGATGTGGGTGACGCAGTGTTTTGCGAGGGCCAAGAAGATGTCCAGCAGTTTGATGGCCTTTTTCTCCAGCATCAGGTCTGTAGACTCTAGTCGTGTCTTCCTTATTGTTGTGTTTGGTCGTTGCGGCCATCAAGCTATGCTGGCTCGGTTTCCGAAAGTGCTACAAGTTATACAGGCTCCAAATGTCATGAGTATGGCAAGGCATTGCTTAATATTGAGGGTTGAGGGTTTAGCGTTTAGGGTTGCGTGAGGGCAGAGTCTGGGTTCAAAAGGAATGCGTGAGGGGACGAGGCATGGTTTATTTAGCTGTGTGTTCTTGTTCTCCCCACTTCTCTGTTTCTTTCTTGGGCTTTACTGCTATGACTCCTCGAGCTGTGATAGCACAAGTTTTTCGTGTCTCTGACGAAACCGACGAAACCATCCGCCGATAATGGAAAGCAAGTCCTCAGCCTTACACGACGCGAACAGTACGCGGCAAACTAAATCCTCATCCTTGGGAAGCAATCAAGCTTTTGGCGTGATGGCCTTAGATGCTACTTGCTTGGCGGAGCGAGAAGTGTCCACATTTCTTATGGGGTTTGATGTGCAAGGCTGCACAAAGAGATACATTTGTATGTTTTAGTCTCACAGCATGAACCCTAGTTGCCATAAGTCAACATCTCTCAACTGCACAGGTGTGTGATTTGCTGTCGCATCAACTGGCTCATCACATGATCTCCTACTGGCGGCTGTCCGAGGTCCTCTGCATTCCGGGGTTGACCTGACTCACGGTTCCCTCTCGGTACTAGGGCAGGATATGGGAGTGTCAGGAAGGTAACCTTATCGTTGCAACGACGCTGCAAAATGCGAACAGGGAACGTCTAATCGTCAGAAACCGGTGTATACGATTCGCTATGGATGCTATGGTTAGCTGGGGTGCGCGAACCTATAGGGTACCGATCCAAAACACTTGTAGTGGCAAAGTGCATCTGTCACATTTCCGTGGACTCCCGTCCAGGTACACATGTACACATGCAGGTAGGGGCTTCTGTCCCTACATGAGTAGCCCCATTTTCTCATGCAGGAGCGCATGCGTACGTATGTATTTGTGTAACTGTGCATCTACTTATGCATGCCTGTTTGTCTGTCTGTCTGTCTGTCTGTCTGTTTGCTGTCCGTCTGTCTTTATCCGTAGTAGCTATGCAGGTATGTAAGTTAGTAGTGGCATGTATGTGCGTCCGTATATGCGTATGTGTAACCGCAAGTCTGTCTCCCTGCCTGTCTGTTTGTATGCATATGTACACATGCCTCAGTATATATATATATATATATACATACACACACCCACATACATTTAGGTGTGTGTGTGTATATATATGGGTTCATGAACACACACACACACAACATATACATATTCAAAGCATATATATATATATATACACGTGTTTGTAAGCCCTTGAACCGACGCTCGCAGGCGACTCCAATCATTTTTTGGATTCTACTTGATCAATCAGCCGAACGCTTGTACTCTGGCTTGCAGGACGGGGACGGAAGAAGACCTAACATAACCCTCCTTGCTCTGAGGGAGGCACAGAAACCCAAACCCAAAATGGCTCTAGGGTCTGCTTTTGCTGGCTTTGAGCTCTTCGGCCCTGCAGATTAAGGAAACCAGATGTGCCGAAGATATGTTCAGGCTGATATCCCTTTATGAAGTGGCCGTTAAGCGGGTGTAGGACCTATGACCATGGCAGCTGAATAGATGACCTCTGGCTTTCGCAGGCATGTATAGCAACCTACCATGTCTGCAAGATCATGGTTGTAATACCTCGGTTTGATCGTTTTGCGGTTGTTTGCGATTGTATGCGGTACAGTATTGCTGTGCAACGGCTATGAAGATCCTCCTTCTGATCTTTTGGCAGGATGGTGGCTCCGGATTTGGGGAGTATCACTTCATCCGCGGCATCATCTACTGGCTCTTCGACGATTGTTGCAAGTTGTGGGTTCGAAGCAAACATGTTCAACGCTCTTCCATAGTTGTTGGCAGGCTTTGAGTTCGTGGCTTTGTATCTAGGAGTGCGCTACATCTGAGCATTTCTTGAAACGCGAAAGTCACGCCACAAGCCCAAAGCCCACACCCGGCAAGAGAAAGGTGCAATTTTGTATTTTGCGATTTCCCTGTGTCCCTCACCGCATGGAGGAGGCACTTCTTTGCTTCAGGAAGTGCAACGGGCATACCAGAGCAACCCAGTGCTGTAATGAAGAAATCGGGGCCCAACCTGCTGCGACCAGTGGAGAGGATGTGACATGGGCGTCAGAAACTCTTTTGCTGGATATTAGCGACATAGTAGGCTTTGGCTTCAGTGAGAGTTTGCGTGAAAGTGTACAGGGCTTTCAGGACTAAGGGCAGGGGTCTTGGAAGCATAGTCGGCTGACGATGGGGCAGCGGGAGCTGATGCTGTGTTCCTGGCTTCGCATTGCGGCCCTGTTGATCTCAACCACTATAGTGGTATCTATCTCGGCCTCAACTGCCTAGGTTGGCGGTGGTTCCTTTTCTCTTCCGCGTTCTGCTTCGCGTAACGTGGATGCTGCAGGCGAGCTCCTCCTAAGATTATTGCAAATGAATAAGGCCACTCTTTTACTTATTTCTAAGAGGAAGTCACTGTGTAAGTAAGACTTGATTAGGTTGTTCTGCTATAGGGCAGCCCTATATTTGGCAGTGGCAGGCTCAGACACCTTGCCGACTGCTCGACTGGCTCCTGTCCTTTCTCATCCTCTTTGTCGCAGCGGTCCTTTTCCTGTCATTCGCTTTTTGGATAGCAGACCGGAAGCCACACTAAGCCCTGGAAGCTCTAGAGTCGAAACCCTAAACTCGGCTACAGACGCCTGATCAGAGATCCCTAAAGCCCCAAACCATGAACCTTTAAGCCACGAACCCTCCAGCATTGCGTCTGAGATCTTCCTGGACATATTCGGCGGCTTCTATGCATTTGTCTTCACATCCATCCCCTTGGCCCTCTTCACTTGGCGATACCTGCCGGTGCCAGTGCCGAAGCGTACTGTACGCCCTGACTGAGCCCGGCATGGGTTTGAGTGAGTCGGCCCACGGGATGCATGGGTTTAGGTTGGGGGGCCTCCGGCCCTGGGGGTGGGGTACTTCTCTGAATTGAGGGCTTCTCTTTCGGGTCCCTAAACATAGTATGGCAGCCTTGTAAAAGAGGACCCTAAAAGGGACCCGAAGTTAGAGTACTCATGTGGGTTTGGGAGGTTGGCTTTTTTGAAAGCTAACTCCTTGTTTGCTTTGTTTGCCTGGCTTACCCGGGCAGCCACCTGTGCTTCCACCCACTGGGTGGGCTTTCTGAGAGCACCAACCGTGTGCTGCTGCGCAGATCATCTTCACTCATCAAACCACTTCTTGCAGGACCCCGCTGCGCTGCTTAAAGTCGTCCAAGCGTTGCAAGTTTGCTGTTTGGGGCTCAAGCACCCTTTAGCGTAGATTGTTGTGTGTCTCGGGCCTGTAGCCGTGGGACTGCAGGCTTCTCTTTGCGTGATCGGATAAAGTTCAGCGGTCGTGGGATCTATGGGTTGAGAGTGCTGAGGTTCAGGGCTTCAAGCCTTTAAACCCTAAACCCTGGACCCGTAGCCTTTTGGGCTCAAGAAAGCTCTTACCCCTGGACGACCCTTCTACTGGAACTGACGGTGTATGGTACTGTAACAGCTTGTGGATGGTGGGAAATCCAGTGATAGTCTGATCATGTGAGCTGGAGATGTGTCTCGTGCCCCTACACGAGACATGGATGGTCGCTGCCTACATTTCTGTATGCTTGGGTGATACCTTGACAAGATTTGGCCCGGAAGTTGGAAACAGAGCGAAACTACATGCGAACTGAGAATTTGAGCTGCGTGGTGCATATTGGGAAACTAGCTTTGGATGAGAGAGTAAGTCTGCATGTTCTTTCGAATTGGATTCTTGCTGCATGGATTCCTGCCACTATGGAGTGCGCATGACTGCATGCGAATAAACCAGGCTGCATGACTCGAACGAGGCCGCTGCCATGGAAAGACAGTTTGGTGTGCATGATCTTGGGAATGCATTCTGCATGAAGACTGCACCTCCTGGTGGCCTCAGCATCGATCTTGGTGACTGTTGTGGGGTCCTGTTGGGATCGCGAGGCTGTCAAGAGGGAGCGAGTGGCCTAGGTGGCGACAACAAAATTCGAGAAGAGAAGTTTTTTTTCCTGAAAGGCGTTGGGAACCGTGGCGGAGGGAGCATCGGAGCGAGTCCAACGGGCACATGCTTCCATTCCCCTCTACACCTGAGACACAAGACGGAAAGACCATGTAAACAGTCTCGTCGAAGTCCCTTGCTGAGGCCTCGCGTGGAAGAGTCTGTAATGAATGATGTTGTGGGCTATGTTAATGTCTTTGATCGGTGATACGCGCCGGTCGTTGAGCCAATGTGCTTCTGGCCACGTACCAGGAACCTCGCCCAGGATTGTCCGAGTGTGAGCGCTGGAACCCGGGACCCTAAACCCTAAACCCGACCTTAAACCCCCAGCTTTCAGCTCAGGGCTCCAAGCTTCGAGTTTCGTCGCGAATGATCGGTAGAAGTAAAGTGACCGGTTATCACAATATGGCATAGTCTCTCTGATCGTTGCCAGGCGGCTTTGGGTAAACCTTATATATGATTCCGATTTCGTAAAGTTTTTGTAAACCTCACTCAGACCTTACCAACTTAAGTCTGAAGTCCTACACCCGACGTTTAGGGTTTAAGATTTGAGGTTTAGGTTTAGGCTTTGGGGTACGCCGAAAACCTCAGCCAGTAGCCCGAGACCCCAGGCCTTGGATCGTAAGACCGCAACCTATTCTTCAGCTCTTGCCTATTGAAAACCAAACGATCGCAGTAGCCCAGGATGCCAGCAACATCGGGTTCAGAGGTTTTTTGTGGTTGGGCAGTGCCCGGGAGCCGCTCTCGCTAAACCCTAAAGCTTTAACCCTCCCTGATTAAATCCTCAATCTCAAACCCACCCTAAACCTTACACCCCAATTCCGAATTCCCTAAGCCTAGGGCCTAAATAAATTCCCAAACCTAAACTCCTAAAACCTAAACCCTACACCCATACCAAGGCCGAAAGCCGTTGATGTGCAGTGCGTGGTGCTGATGCAAGGCTCCGGGCCAATGAACAGCAGCCAAAATGCCGCGGATCTCAGCGCCAGCTAGGGTTTCGCTGGGTTAAGCGGTTTTAAGGTTGTGGGGTTTATTGTGCAGTAGTTGGTGGTAGTCGGAGTGGCCGCGGCATTAGCAATGGCAGTGGTTTGTGATAGTGGGTAGTGGTCGTGTAGTAGTGGTAGTAGCAGCAGCAGCAGCCGTAGCCGTAGCCGCCGCAGCAGCAGCAAGAGGTAGCAGTAGAAGTAGAAGTAGAAGTAGAAGTAGAAGTAGAGGTAGAGGTAGAGGTACAGGTAGAGGTAGAGGTAGAGGTAGAAGTAGAAGTAGAAGTAGAAGTGCCGTCGTAGTAGTAGTAGTAGTAGTAGTAGTAGTAGCAGTAGCAGTAGCAGTAGTAGTAGTAGTAGTAGTAGTAGCAGTAGGAGTAGTAGTAGCAGTAGTAGTAGTAGTAGGAGGAGGAGGAGTAGTAGCAGCAGTAGCAGCAGTAGCAGTAGCAGTTTGGGACCGCTTGCAAGAGTTGTTGTTTCGAGATCATTCCACAAGTTTTGTTGCAGGGGCTGTCCAGTTTGTGGACCGGACGTTTGCCATGTCCTGGGATTTCTTGCGCCAGATGCGAGGATTCATGGACCCCATTCCCTCAATGATGATGATAATGCTTGGGATCCGAGCAAACTAGTCACCAGGGTTCTAAGATGTCCTTGGTTTTTCAAGTGAACCGAGAACCCAGGTTACTGTCGAACGCTGGGACGGCAACAATTTCGCTGCAGAGCGCAGGCGGCGGGCAGGGATTCCTACTAAAGCCGAATGTATGCCATGTAATTAGCATTCATCAAGACGTTGCGCACATCAAGGTTGGAGTTCATGAGCTTGGGTACTCGGTGCCACGTTAAGTGTTCCGTACCTGTTGCTGATCCACCCGGGGTATTCTTTAGTATGTTAGTTTCTTATATATATATAATATATACATACGCATGTATATATATATATA